GAACTACGGCAGCTAAGGCACTTTATAGTCTGTGGTTTTGTTCGACAATTTCACAATCAGGAATTGCAGGGCCGCAGATTCTTGCCAGAGGGCCCATACAGTTGCATTTTTCGCGAGGTGATCATATATATTGAGTTAAACCTCTATCTAAAACATCACAAATTTACTCTGTCTATAGCCAGATGATTGGTCATTTAATTAAACATTTTTAGAGGGAAGTATCTGACTTACACTATTCTCATTAAGTGAGGTTCCATCTTTTGGGCAGACTGGATTGGCATGACTGAAAGTGAAAGATAAAAGTTAGTTTGTTTAATGTAATAATGACAAAACATTTGCGTAGTACGGTATATTCGATGAGGACTATATGTTCGGGTGAGACCTACGCAAATTCGTTCGCGGTCCACAAGTTCAGAAGGTTTTGGGTCTGCTCATATATGAGAGCATGCAGCTATAACCCGGGGAAACTCACCTGAGTGAAATCTGCATGGCCTTTGTAACGCATATAAAATTCAATTTGTGTTCATATGAGAAACGAGCCAGAGAAAAAAACGAGAAAAAAACGAGCCAGAAACGAGATCTCACTGGCTATAGGTGAGATCTCACTTTGCGCTAGGTGGGATCTCTGTCAAGTAGAATAAAATTTTTCATGCATTCCAACTGATTGGATGGACATTTTTTCCGGCAATTTTGATCTATAATATAGCCTATAATGAACATCTTAGTTTAACGTTGCGTTCGAAATGACAACGTTGACGGGTCTATTACATGAGATCCGACCGGAATTGTATATATGGTTAGCGGCTGTTCTCGAATTCATCGTGTAAATTTTAGGACGGTTGCAAAATCATTCCGCCGTGTGTGTTAAGCGAAGGTCCTTTGTCAGGTTTCATAAAACACAATACATATTTACCAACGTGAACGCTGAACCGTGTGAAAGTCGCCGAGTAAGCAATCGACTTCCGCAATGTCTATATGAACTGACTCTGAGGCATATGCAAGACAGCAGTCCGTAACCATTACTAACCAACAAATATATAACGACCTCAAAATTACCTCAAAATAACTTGAAGACAGCTTTTACACAACAAATGTCCACATGGGGTTTGCATCGGTTCATTCAGCAACAGCTCACATTTCGAACAGAGGAATTTTGAGTCGATTTTTCTTCGATCAACTTCTGAAATTTGTTGAGCCAGGCATAACGAAAGCCTAAAATGAAAGAATCGAGCGCGCGTGTGAAATATGAGATATGATCTCATTTTTATAGCCGCGGTTTAACATTTTTTGTTCTCATTTGAAAGACAAGTAAGCAAGCGGAAAAGGCATTAAGTAAACAAGCACATGGAAAAGACACTTTTACATGGCAATAAGAAATTCTAGTTATAGTATATTTTCAAGAGGTCATGATTCAAATTTTACACTTACTGCGTTTCTTTAAATTATCTATATGAAGGTTTTAATCCTTTTGCCAATGAAGAAAATAACAGTCTTTATGGTCTCACGAAGACACAATATAAATAATTGGTTGTTTCACGTCATCAGGTTACTATAAATGGTAACCATACAAATATTCACTTCTTATATTGATCCAGATTGTATAGAATACAATTCTCGAACCTTCTGAGGACTAATAAATATCCAAAAACATCTCAACACAATTAAGCAACTCAAGTTCCTCTTTTTTTGGACTTTGACTTTATGCTTTCAGACTGTATGTACCATGCATCATAGACAATCCAGAAGACATGTACGTGTAGGCATTTATATTCTTTAATACTTTATATCTAAATAGTAATGGACAAGCTATGTATTACAGCAGAATTCAAGAAAAAAATCGATTCAGCTAAGAGAAAGATATTTAGAGATTTTTACTTTCTATTTAAACTTCCTCGTCTCCCTCAACAAAGGGCCTGGGAAAGAGGTTGGGCGCTGATGCAACAAACACAATGCCTATATATATATATATATATATATATATATATATATATATATATATATATATATATATATATATATATATATATATATATATATATATATATATATTTGCATACAATAATACGTATCATGGATTCAGACTATATCGTCAGCATTTGTTGTTCAGGACATCAACGAATAAATGGTAACCGCTTCGCACTAATCAGGTTTGCTAACTTTAAGTTTTAAACATACAAAGTAATTTGCTCGTAATACAGCAGCCACTTGTCAATCATTTAATAAGAGGAAATCCCTTATGCAAATTGTTTACCTTCATTGATTGTAAATCGTGAATATATATAATCATAGTCTTTCGAG